CCACCGCATTTTCTTACCCTTATGCCTCTTCCCCCAACTCCTCTTGCTCATGCTCCTCAACCTTTCACACCTTTGCTTCCTGGTCTACCCACTCCCCTATCCGTCTTCTGCTTCCCAATTCTAGTCTATTTGCGCGTCTCCCTGTGTTTACCACAGCTGACATCATCATCATCATCCTCTACGTCCTCCTCCTGCTCCTACGCGTGCATTTCGATACTCTCGCCAGCATGACTTATGACTTTTGAATAGAGTGAAATTGTTTATCCTCAATGCTCAATCCAGTCTAGTACCTGATTATCCGTAATTGTTCTTATGCACCTCTGCCTCTCATTCGCTCTTCTGTTCGTCACATGTCTTTCACATATTCTGCAGACTATGCTCCTACGACAGCCTTCTGCGCCAGAACCTGGCTGAGTCATGCACTCATAACTTCTGCGAATTCTGCATTCACAAGAACAGCCAAGCCCTGGAATCAGCCAGTTTGTCTCTCTGCCTTTACTACAGGTGATAGTGAGGGGCGTTCTCAGGAGACCTTTACTCCCACCCAGTTCTGATTGACTGGCGCGTACCAGTGTTGGGTCCCGCACGCAACGCATTTGCTACTATTTCTAATCTACCCCTATTCTCGTGACGATCTGGTCCTGCCATTATAGTGATTCGCTATTTTCACTATCTTAGCCGGTAGTATTTGCCGCGGCACACTTCGTCTGTTAATCTGAACGCGATCTTATAGCCCATCTCGGAATATATCTACTTTTATTCCTCAGATAAGATTTGGATGCATTTACTGCTGCTGATCTTGTCTCGGGTGTCATACAAGCAAAGATTCGTTGACGTGCACAGCCGGTGACCGATCTCATGACATATTATTCGAAATTCTGGAATGCGTTTTCGGTTGATGAGGATTACCTTAGTGCGGTTTTTACGTTGAGTATCTTCCAGCATAATCCCCAGATACAAGCCACGTTAATTTTGGCTTTGCGCAAATCGCACAGTAATTTCTCGCTCAGATGAGTGCGAGTCGTGACTGTTTTGGTTTTTGCCGATTTGGGTACTTTCACATACCTCTTTGTTATCGATTTACTGTGGAATTTGCATGATTTAAGAGGCACGGATTAGATTTTTAAGGCTAATAGGTTAATACAGGCTTCCTCGTATTGAAGCACTTCGGATGCTAGAGTTGACTACTAACTGCCACTGGTTATGTCTAGGCTTCCCATTTCACAAATATCCACCAACTCCACATGTTCTCATTTTATTCCCTCTAGAAGCATTTTTTTCTGCATTAATCTGCTACTTGAGATAATATTACCTCCTAGCTTTATCTACGCCCCTCCCCTACCCGTCCTCGGCTTCCCAATTTTTTTCTACTTGACACGTTATTCAAAATCCTGGAATGCGTTTTTGGTTGTGAAGGATTACCTACTGTTTTGCACCGTAAGCACTTCAAATGAACCTATCTTGATAGAATTTTCAAGGCTAATATGTTGCAATGGAAACCCAGAATAATGTCTTGGAGGAAGCAAAGCATGCTAAATAGAAAAGGTACCCGTTTGAAAGGATGAATTCGAGCTATTTTTGTAAGTCGGGTCTAGGTTCCGACCGTGGCATATTTCTACGGAATACTTATGAAATAATATAGCCCGGATATATTTAACACAGCCAATTACACGAACTGGTCTCTAAATGAACGAAAATTGACTTACTGAAAATCCGTCCCAAAATAGAAGGCTATCTTAAGCCGTCAATTTCAGAGATCACTAATGCATTTAGAAGGTGAGCAAACACACGTAGTCTCTAAAATTAATTAAGCAATTTATCCCTCTAATGACATTATTTGCACTCCTAATCATTCCCAAAATGCATCATATAGTACTGAATGTGATTTTATGTTCACGGCGTCCATTGTGATGACGCGCATAAACCTGCTTTTAATATATCGCATGCTATCATATCATGCAATTTGGATATCTATTAAGTCTAGACCACATGCTCCTGCGTTTATATATGATGCAGTATTGTTCTGTTTTCGTGTCCCGATGGTGGTTCTATCAATTTAGTTTGATTATGATTGGTGCAGCAATGCAAAGTGAGTTCCCGGAATAATTATGCCGGAAATGGACGTCGATGAGTCAGTAGGTATCAAGAGAACCGTGCTCTAGTCAACAGTGGAGAAGGGAATGGATGGATAGGCAGGTTAGAAAGAGAGAAGAAGAGAGAGTTGACCAGATTACTCATAAATATCATGCAAGGCTTCAATTCATGCGAACTGTATACGAGAAATGAAAGCGTATTGTTTTATTTTAAATTGAACTTTTAATAACAAGGAGAAGAGGCCATGTACTACCTTCTTTGTGTACCTGTAACATCCACTCGGTTAGAACTTGTTATCTCTTGACCTGTGTGGACTTTACAGCCGAGTCGACACAATTTTGAGATTGTGTGGAAAGTAATGCATGAATCAGGTAAACCGAAGACCATTGAGTTTATCCATTCACAGTGATGTTTTGATGTTTACCGAATGGGCAGTGAAGGCAATCGACTTGAGGGTTGATGCACTCCCGATTTCGGCTGCCTTAATTTCACAATATTTGAACCATATCCCTATTCCCACACTTCTTCACGGTTTTTCGTTTTAAATTGGAAGTTGCTCCCGCCAGAGGTGACGGCATGAGACAGCCCATCCGACCCATCCCCTTAATCAGTGTTGGAAACCTAACTCATAAGACGAATGACTAGACTCGCATCGTCCGGTGGCCAGAGCGTTGGCCGTTCTAAAGCTTCTCCCTTGCTGTGGTGGGTTCGAATCCCACCGGAGCAGCGAGGTTTTCACAGTTGGGTCAAAATGAATCTAGGTTTTAGGTTCATCTTCTCTTTGGCATCTCCAGGTAGACAACGACGTCAGATAATGAAAATCTGAAAGGCCCATCGTTTCGTGAAGCGGTATCGGCATCTGCTGTTCATTGTTTAACTACCTCACTAGGATAATTAAGGCTGCCTAATTCTCCATACTGACAGACATCAATCCCACGAGGTGTCTTGTTCTGGTGGACCGACCAAACCAACGACTTCATGAATGCGTTAAGCCAAAGCTTGTGACTAGGAGAGAGACAGGGTCAGTGTTGTTGCGACCAGTAATCCGGCGACTGGGTGTAAATGCAGCACTGTCAACATCGTGTAATGTGCTTCCGGTAGTCCCGTTAATAGCGTAGTTGATCAGCACGAACCATAAGATGCGTCGTCGTCAAGCGATAGACCAAATATCGAGTGGATGAGAGAGATTTTTTTGGATCAGAGCATGTGTACTGCTAGGACGATAGTACTCTCTGAACATGATGTCTTTTGTCGGCATGCAATGTAAACTCTTTACCCCTCACAGAGACCCGGGATTAACATAATCGAGCTCTGCGGCAAAAAGTAAACAAAGAAGACGACCGTCGGTCGTTACTAGTGATTCCGGAGATCTAAATTGTGTCAGAGTGTGAATATTTGATCCGCGCATCCAAACCCAGCGCGAGTCGCGCAAACTTATAACCGCCTTAGACTAACAACACAGGAAGCCTTCGCATCAACGTCTATTGGACACATGTCGCGGTGGTTTTCGCTATTCGCCCAATCGCTGGCTGGAGCCAGGACGCTGGAGTGTCAGCACACGACTTGTCGACTTCAGTGAGGAAACCGTCCTCTCCAAAAGTCTTGTTGTTGTTGTGCGGCCTAAGTATATGATTGAAGATGTCTTCCTGAGGACGATGGGGGGCTTTCACAGACGACTCTGCATTGGCTGGAGAGGGGGATGAAACTCTGCTCCAGAGCAGATCGGCTGCTCAAAATGCTCATTCAATCTCTCGCCCCTCTGGCCGATTTGCCCACAATAAAGCCGCCATACATATCACAATTTTGAGTCGGAAATCATTTGTGCGAAAATATGATCTTCGCCAACTGGCGTTATGTGTGCACATCGAACCGAAACCTTCTGCCTATAATTCAGTTACCACCTGCCCCCCTCCACACCCTTTCCTATGGTTTTCTCGCTGATGACTGAGCACACGTCAGTCTACTTGGCAGTTAACTCACGCCATCGGTGACTTCTAGGCAGCTTTGCCTTCACCAAAAAAACTTACTGTCATCGGCCAATCAGAACCTGCAGGTCGTCAGTGCGCGTGTGCGTGCGTGTGTAACCTCTCGAGCCACAGTAAAAGACAGCCTTTGTGGACCTCGTAGCACTCCGGCTCTGCTGCTCTGCTGCTCTGGTTATTACTCCGAATGGTGCTTCCACAGACAGAAATATTTGAGGACCAATTTCCCCTGATTCGAAGCTGTCCTGCATTGAACGAAATTCGTCTTGCTCAGGACATAAAGGATCTGCGAATAGAGGTAAGTTTCCTTACTGCGGACATTTGTGTGTATGTTTGCCAGGTTGGGGGCGGGGCAGTGCTTCACGCCCATCGAATAATATTAGCGGCCCGCATTCCTTCTTTGCGAGCCGCTCTCAGTGGTCCCTGCGGGGAGGAGAATTCGGTTCTCAGATGGCCCACAGTGCCTCTCAAGTAACATTTGCATCGGTTCTCTGACTTTTCTTACTCTTTGCGCACTTTATAGCCTCGCAACAACATTCATTCAGTATGTTTACACGGGTCAGGTTGAGATGACACAAAGTAATGCGAGGGGCATGGTTACGCTTGCCAAAATGGTCAAACTGCCTGACCTCGTTAAATGGGGAGTTACATTCATGGTCAAAGGGTAACTATCGTTCCGGTCTTACCTACGCACACTAAAGCCTCAAGTTAGAAAGTCTGCCGGCAGCTTGGGACCTTGCTAGGACCCTGAATGTGGAAGTACTGGCGGAGAAGTGTATCGGCCTGATGAAGGAGCAGTTTGAGCACTTCATTCAAACTGACCTCTTTGTCAGCTTGCCTGCTGAAACTGTGTTCACTCTGCTTCGCAGCGATGATCTCTCGGTGGGATGTGAGGAGCAGGTAATTGCAGCCATTTCGCGCTGGGTGGACGCCGGTGGTGCTGACGATGATGAGAAGCGGAGAGTGCACGCTCCGGCAATGCTGAAGGAGGTTCAGTGGCAGCTGACGAGCGTGCAATGTCGCAGTCGCCTGCTGGATAGTTATCCAACACTCCAGAAGAGTAACGAATGTCTGTAAGTTTATGCCATTTTAGTTCTGTTCATTTGCGATAAAAGTCGTCTTATGCTTCAGGTGGAGCACTGGATTGGCGCTGCAGAGAAGGGCAAGCCTCCTCGTCCCTTCAACATCAGGCAACGTGTACTTCAGACGTTCCTCCTCTTTGGAAAGGATAAAGATCAAGATAGTTACTCTGTCCTCCGCGTTGATGCGCACCTGCATCGGGCAGAACGAGTTGCTGAGATGAAAAAACGCCTATATGCCTCCTTCTCTGTGGTGGGCGGTGAGTTGCTTGACAGCGCATGCCGTTTGTTTTCGTGCTTGAAGTCTAATGTTTGTCTCTGTGTCCACGCAGCATTTGCCATTGCGTAAGCATCTCGAGCTCCTGAGTAAGTCCATTGTAGCAGCTGCAGGTGCTGTTTTGAAGAAAGAAAATAAATAAGACACTTGAAGAAGTAAGACTTTTGTATCGACCGGCGCCCTCCTAGGGGTTCCTTTTTTGAAGATGGCGGATCTGACTGTTACTTTTGTGTAAACACCCTCAACTGTTCGCCTTATGCGTTACTTCTTCCAACCTCCACCGGAAGAGAGCATTTTCGTTATTGGAGGATGCAGCTCAGTGCGTACTGATGTCGACGAGTTTTTGGTGAGAGAAGGACGCTGGCGCGAGCGTACGCCCCTCGCCGTTGCCCGCTGGTGCCACGCAGTCGCAGTCACGAACGTGTCCGACACCGCCGCCGCCGGAGAGAAGACGCTGATTGGCGTTTTTGGTGGAAAGGGTGGAGATGGACGCCTTTCCTCCTGTGAGCTCTATGACGTCGGCCAGGACAGGTGAGAAGACGCCGGTCGTGGCACATCCATTTTTGCTAGAAATATCAATCACGTACTCACTGTCCCCCTTTCCCTCCGCTTGCCCCGAACAGATGGCACAAATTGCCCGATCTGCCGGAGAAGAGGAGCAGTTCAGCTGCGGCCTGCCTACCCGGCGACAGTCGGGTCTTCGTTTTTGGCGGTCACGATGACTCCTCCTCCTCCGCGCTTGCTTCCGTAGTCTTCTGTCATCTGCGGGCAGACTGGCAGGGACAGGCGACCTCAGCGGACTTTTGGCAGCCAGCTGCCCCCATGAGAACTGCGCGATATGGCCTCGCAGCAACGCCATTTCGGGGAGCAATCATGGTCGCCGGAGGATACGATGGCCAAAGGAATCTCAACGTCGTAGAGGCGTTCTCGCTGCCAGATGCCAGCAAACCCCTCGGCCAGTGGACAGAGCTGGCCGGCATGAATCAGCCCCGCTGCTACTTCACTCTTCTCACCTCTGCCAACGCCGTCTTTGCCCTCGGTAAGGCGACACACAGAGTAGATGGGTCCTTTCATGCTACTTGCTGGTCTCTTTCATGTTAGCCTACTTTTCATCTACAAAGCTGAAAGATTACATCACCTGGAAGGTGACGCCAGATGCAACTGTAATCTGTGACATGATTCCGTGGAGGTTGTTCTCCTGCGCACTGCGCCATCACTGCCAGAGGCAGACGGAGTCATTGTAATTTCTTCCGATCCTTAATTTTTTTAAACAAAACTCTTTTCTCTCTGGTGTCTTTCCTCTTTAATGCCCCTTCGTTATGATTACTCAAATGAAACATTGTAGGCAACGACGACGCACCGAAAAACACAGTGGAGTCTCTCACGGCACCAGAAGGTTCGACTGACTCTGACAATGACTTGGCATCTTGGGTCTGGTCGTCCATGAGCCGAGTGGAGACACTGGACCGGATTGTTGAAGCTGCAAGCATTCGCATGTAAATGCCTGCGTTGATTTTTCTTGGATCGCACTTCGGCATTTCCTCCATTGGCTGTTTACTGAAAATAAACGACTAGCAAATAAATTTGCCTTGACATGTGTTATTTCAAAACTGTGAAAAGATGCGTGCGGTGTGCAACATATGGCATTGCCGAGTGATGTCTATTTTTGACTTTGGGGGAATGAAATAGGGATGTGGGGATTAGGTGAACCAGTTAATTTGCTCGAGGGAGATGATCATTCGCTGATTAGATATAGTGAATTCGAAAGGGTGTTTGTATAGAATTTATTCCGATCTCTGGGACAGAAGCAATGTTCGTCTGACGTCTCCAGTGCATGCAAGATTTATGACGTAGACAGCGGAGACTGGGGACGTGAAGAGGGGCGCCGATGATGATGAGGAAGAAGAAGAACGTGAGTAGGAACAAGACCAAGATGCTGATGCAGACGATGATGATGGTGATGATGATGATGATGATGATGATGATGATGATGATGATGATGATGATGATGATGATGATGATGATGATGATGATGATGGTGATGAGCGAGTTTTCGACGGTCGAAGTGGTCCTGTGGTGTGCTTCGCACTTATCTCTCCCTCTCTCTTTCGGTGGAAAATGAAAATCCGAGTTGCTAAAGTCTTTTACCGCGGCTAAAACCTCGTAAGAAAACACCGGACATGGTTCTCTTCATGTATGGAGTGCCAAAGAGGGATTTAGCATCATAGGTAGGAGTGTAGTTTCTGAAGCATACTGTGACGTTACGAATGCCCGCTGCGGTGGGATGTGGTTTGGTAACCCCACGTGAAGTAAGCAAGCCCCATCACCTCTAATATGGAACCAGTGGTAATAGCGGTTTTTTACAGGCGGAGTCGGGGAATGCACAGACGACGAAGTCAAGCAGCTGTATGCGAAAGAAAAGCTATTGGAAGTGCGTGATTGTACTTTCAATGGTTGAGAAATTGTTGCACTAACTTCTTACCCCTACCGTAACCCCTTATCTTCAACCCCAACCGCTAACCATAAACTTTAACCCTAACCATATCCCATAACCCTACCCCATCCATTAAGTGGGCCTACCAAACCACATCTTACCCCCGCTGCTGCTGCATGCTCCACCAATGAGTGCCTGGAGTGCAGGCCATTATCGGGAGCACACCTGGAGCTGCTTTGCAATAGAACGTGAGACGCCTGCACACCTGGCCAGATAAAATCGATCGCGCTCAATACGTAGCCTGATATCGATCGAAGTACATGCACGTGGTTTCTGCCAGATGGGCGAGCGCTTAACGCGGGGAGAGGCGCACTTTTACAACCTTGAGAAGGTTGTCAAACTGTGCCGATTGCCGTGGCGTGCGCAATCGATGTGTGCGCGTCATTACACAACAGCAACAACCTGGTCACAATCCAGCTTCCATTATTAATAAAAATTCCCAGTATCTCACACTGGGCTGATGAGATTAATGCTAAATATGCTGTTAGCACAGTGCACTTATTTTGTAACATAAATGGGTTTGCTGATTTCTCAGACCATTATTTCGTGGACTCTTTATTCAGTATCACAGTTTAAGAAGGGAAAGATTTCGACTTGAAGTAATCAGAAACAGAAGCATTTAGTTCCAAGAATTCTATGGCCAATCCTAGAATAATTCCACGAAATTTAGTCGCGTTTTCTCATTTATTAAACGTATTATTGAACTCCAAAGCGAAAAGGTTGACTTGGGAACTCCTCTTTCAGAACGAAATCCCATTCACAAGTGGTCCTTTTTCTTCTTCTTCACTTGACCGCTGTGTTTGCTCCTTTTAAGCATCTCAATTCATCGTTTAGCATAACTATGTATCCTTAGAACGACCTTACATTACCAACCTAAATCTAAGTTGTAAAAATTAATCGTAGTTAGCCTCTCATGCAGTCTGCACTTCTACCACGCATGATATAATTCCTCAGTCAAATTATTCTGAGGTTCAAGCACC